ATTTTTTTATTAATACGCTGCACTAAAACACTATATTTAGATGATAATTAAACAATGTATCATTATTAATGTTCAAAAATGTTTGACCACGCAAGCTTGTAGTACAGCCGGCAAATTAGTACTATATCAGTTCAGTTTTTTAAGGTTATATTTAAGATAGTTAAATAATGAACAAAAATCTTTTAAAAGACGATCGTTTATGTGGTTATGTTAAAGCTTTTAATTCCTATCAGTCATCAAAAATTAAAAAGATTATTTTGTGTAAAGAATGATTACGATAACATTATCGTAGTATTTCATTGTATTTAGTTACTATACTATGGCGAAGGGAGGCTAAGAAATTTATGCTTTAGTCTTACATACACATAGACTACTATTAATAATACACCGAAAATCCGATTTGTATCTATTATTGTTATCACTCATTTAGTGCGTCGTAAATTTTTATAGTTAATTTACATGTCATAACTTGATCAATAAAATTTGGTTTATGCAACAGCAAATAAAAATAATGACTTCTGTATTTAATAACAGTAATATAACAATAGAAACTTGGCCTAAAGTCACTAAACTTTAACAAGCTGTAACGACGAACGGTTAATCGGAAAAAAAAATTGTAGGAACAAAGTTGCTTATAATTTTTTTTGCTATCATATTATAAAATTAAAAATAAGGGTTCTCATTTAAGAAAATTATAAATAAGGGTTTTTATCCCTAAAGGGACGAAAAAAATAATGATTTGACTAAATATTATTGCAGAGTTTTTTGAATTTGATATTTTTTCTCTTTAAAAAAAATTAAAATTCTCAATATAGATTTTACGTATATCATATTATGATAGATCTATACCCAGTATGAAATAAAATGTACATTGTATCAAGTGTTAAAGGAAAGCGTCTAATATTTAATAACATATGTTGTGTGAAAATTATTTAGTTTTTATACCTAACGTACAATACTTTGGTTATATTAAAATCGACATTTTGGTATAACATAATGTTCCCTCCCTTTACCGGAGGTGATTGTAGAAATAATGTTATTTCATCCATCATGCCGTAAATAATATTTAAATAGTCTGCTGACAAACTAATATAACGTGAAGGAATAATAATGCATACCGTAACATTGAAATCCTCCTTTGGATTCATGCCCACTTGCAAAAATTTTCTGTCGCTTAAACAATAGTGTAACTGCTAGAGTCAATCATCTCAGCTGGCGGTGTTGGTGCGATATAAATGTAACGCTATTTTCTTACAGGTTCGGCAGCCATATTGTTTATAGAGTAGAGTCTTCTTCTTTGAGCTGATGGTTCTTGATGACACTGTGACTTTATCAGCGATTTCACGCTCATTTATCAAAATCGCATATTTTCATAGGGGGGTCAACAAATCACAGGACACATATCCCCGTATACTAACCCTTTCCTTCACCACTTAAGTAATTTCACTTTAATATCATAATAATTAATTTTAAACTCTCGATTTCTAAATATTTTTATACAAATATATGTAATAGAGTATGTGTATACATATGTTTTATACAATAACTATTACACATTAACAAAAAATGTCTATTAACAAACGCGGTAGTGTGACTGAATAATCAAAAAAGAATTTGATAAAATATTATTTCTAACGTATAAATATTTTATCTATGAAATAGTATAATATTGTGCATATTTATTTATTTACTTTAATATCATAATAATGATCACCTTATGATGAGTTTCATCATCACCTCCCCTTCTATGTAGGGGTAAACCGCTGATCTACTGTTTTAATACATACGTTAGTCAAGGAAGGGAGACTCTTTATGGTCACATAACTAAAGTTGGGTTTCGTTGGATTAGTAGCTGCCGTCGCCGCTTGATTACACCTTTCACTTTTCTGCATTCAAATATTTTCACACATTTCTAAATTTGTGTAATTTTTAAAATACCTCCAATTTTCTGTAATATATCAAGATATACTATATGATGTTCCATCTATCTCGGTATACTATGAATATACCAGGGTATACAATACATATATCATGATAACTGTTCAAGTCCGCATTTGTCCGAAAAAGTAGATGAGCATAAATAACACTTAAATCCTATACCTTCATGGATTTTCCTATGCTTTATTATACAGTTATTTATATACAGTTTTTTTACAACATACACTTTTTCACACTTGTCACAAGAAAGCATTTTTAAGACGTTTAACTGACACAACACTATTAATTTTACTCGAGTAATAATTCTTCTTTTATGCGAAATACTCATTAAATGTAACAAAATTAATTATGAACTCGGCGAATCGCAAAACATATATCCCCGTATACTAACCCCCATTCTATCACGACTTAATCATTTTTATCTCATAATTTCTTATTAATTACGATTTAATAAGTAATTTCTAATAAACTATTCATCTTTTCATAGTCCCTCCTTCTTATGTACCCCACATGTAGATTAACCCCCCATACTTGTGATATCTACTGTCATATGAAGAGAGCTCCCTCCATTATACTCTGAACCTTTCATGGGATGGGGGTCCCAATGCCTTTCACCATATCCCCCCCGACTGTGTACACCTTCTTTGTGGTTTAGGGGGTATCCAGCTTATATATTATACAACTAAAAAAAATATGTTCTACCAATACACAATTATTTTATACTTATGCTTGTGCACTCTAGGTTTATAATTAAATACCATTATTATATATATACGTTTACTTATTTTCGCGTATTATATTACATATTATTATTTTATAATGTATAGTTTGTAATAATGTATACTTAAAAATAAGTAACAACACAAAAATAAAATAAATATCTATAATTTTATTATATTTTAAACACGTGATCATTGTTTTTATACATAAAAGTTTATTTTAAACTATGAATAAAAGTAAAAGTAAGTTTTTATATAAAGCAAAACATGATTAATTCAAAGTATATAAATAAAAATACACTTTTAAATAAATTTTAAGAATATTTAAATTGTTATTATTGAAATGAAAAATTGAATGCATTACCACGTTTTCCGTAATAAATTAGAGATAATTTTTTCATAGATTTATTGTATTCATCTATTTCAGCGTCTGTGAGTGAAATTATTTTTGGCAAACATAGCTGTTTATCATTTTCTAATCTCGCTATTAATGTTCGACCGTACTTGGTTTCCACAGATCTCAAAGTAGTTACCCGATACTCTTTAGTGTCAGTGAAGCCATTGATACATAATCATTGTGAGAGAGTGATTTAATTTTATTCAGTTACAGATATTTTTTCTAGAAAAAAATACAAATCATTAGTTTAAATATTAACTATACTTATCGATAAATTAAAATACAAGATTCAAGCAATACAAAAAAATGAGTAAGCATTAGTTTTACTTACATACATCTAATGATTTCAAAAAAACAATTAGATAAAATGTTTGAAACTTATTTGTTGAAAAACTTAAATATGATTTTTATCGAGGGAGGGAGTTGATATGATATTATCAACACCACATTTCATTGGTTAAAAAATCGTAAACTCACCCCCAATAATAATAAACCATATATTCAACCTTTATAGCACAAATGTTATCCAATAATATTATGAATATGATTTATCGGAATATTCATTAGTTTACTATTCATGATGGTTAAACTAATACAACATTTAATGCTGACTGTCATAGGATACACAATTATTTTTTAAAATTTTATTGGTAGTTAAACACAAACAAACAATCCAATAAATCTTAACGCAAAATCACAACATAATTGCACCCTTTTAATAATAACAATAATATGTCATAGGATTTGTATTGCCAAGTGCAACCTTCACGCGCTTCGGTTATGCACCATTTACAATCAATGATATACCATCAATGAAAATTAGTAAATAACACAATAATTTTGTACGGGGGTTAGAATGTACAAATACAAATGTTTTTTTGAATAGTAACTGCAATTGTCTTAATAGCACAGAACTTCCCAATCATAGCTTATTGACATCCTAAATACTGCCATGCAGTATTTAGGATGTCAATAAGCTATGATTGGGAAGGTCTGTGCTGTTTTGTTACTTACAAATATTAATACATACATACAATATAAACACTATGCAGCTCTTTAACACACTCCCCATGCTCAATATAAACCCACCACTAAAAGGGCTTCATTACATTGTATCAACTAATCAATGGTCACCATTTTGTTTAACCCTCTCACAGGGAATGTGGCTTATCAACCAATCACAGCTCATCAGTTGTTATACCTTAGGTAGACCACGCCCCCAACCACCCCATGGGGTTAATAGGGGTGTCCCAGAAAGAACCTTTATATCAACACCTTCTTAGATTCGCATCGAAGCTAAAAGGGATAAACTATTGATTTATTGACAACATATACTGTTGCACTCAATATGGATTTATATAGGCAGTAGTGAAGATACAAGTACTATAGAAATTTCTATTGAACAATATAAATTGATGTATCAAAAATGATCGAATACATTGAGTGACGACTGTTTTTTCATTTCCTAAGTTGCATTATAAATCACGGCACTAATAATTCAGCATAGAGATAAATAAGATAACATGATCAATAAAATAAATGATTTGTTTCTTTATTTTTATTTAAATAGTTATAGCCAAATATATGTGAAAAAACATTTGTGGTTTCATAAATAGGTAACTACAAGAAATGTTTTTCAGTTATTTTCATTTTTATAAAAAAAATTATTATTAACTGTTTACTGAGCAATTTCGTATCTATTTAGAACAAAACCATCTGCAAAACGTCAAAGCTTATTAATTTATAGACTTATATTTCATTATTCAATGTTGGCTGAAACAAAAGAAAACAAGTTTTTACTAGTATTTTTAGTACAATGATGGAAATCGATAAATAAAATGTTTACTTAATTTTAAATATAGCTATTAACAAATACTAAAAACAAAATTACATTTATTAAATTTTTTTATTGCAATTTTAAAATACTTAAAAAGACCTTTATAACCATGGAAAGACATAGTATTGTTATAACATAAGTAGATTTCATTTAATCTGTTATTTCAACAATTTTATTCAAATACATCGATTGCCAAACACAAAATGCATTTCTACATTTTTATTTTTATGTGTCTATCTAGTCGTTTTTCAAATGGTTATCTCTTCGATATTTATCCTTTAAATCAGGTAAAACGATACTATTTATTTTTTGATAAAATTTAGTTGTTAAATGTTTTCTTATTAGAAAATCAATTTTTAGGAATATTTAGATATTTATTAAGATTTTTTTTTTCTTAAATATAATATTTTCAGAAAAATAAGTATTTAGTACTCAGATATTTTTCCTACACCACGCATCAAATTTAATTAAATTTTGTTACGATTCTATTCAAGAGGGAACATTTTATAATAGCTAATAATTGTATAAATTCAGCTATTTATTAATATACAAGACCAATTATTTTATTATAATAAAATTTTTTACCAAATATTTATGTCTCATTTAAATTTATAAAATATAATTTTTTTTAAAAGTATTTTGTTTTTATATAATTAAATATAAAAATTTTAAGTCCATATTATTATTACTTTTCATATAATATAGTCTATTTTAGAACGGCATATTAAGTAATTTAGGCGTGTGCATAATTTTTAATTATTAATAATAAAAATAATGATTTTAGCTTTAACGCCAAGCTGACAAGGTATTAATTTTATTATGATGTGTTTTTTTTTATCTGTTACCCCTTTTTCTAAGCTCACACCGAACCGATTACTTTCAACGATATGTCAAAAGATCACAAATATTTTTTAGTCGAAGACATTACCTTGTTTTCTGTCGTTCTCCGTAAATGAGGGAAATCTTCAAAAAAAATTCAAAAATTTAAAAATTGGTAATTTTCGACATTTTTCAATATTTTTACTTGTAACTGCCATGATTTTTTTAAAAATAGATAAATAGAAATAATTTTTTTTTTAATAGATTTGATTTTTATCGCATTTAGATTCAATAACTTCAATAATAATATATAATAACTTATTATTATATATTATATAATAATAATTTCCTGACTGCATATTAATCTTAACAACATCCTTTTTTTTAATTCCTATGAAATTTTCTATTTATTGATGTAAATTGCAAACTGACAAGTTGAGTTAAATGTTATGGTAACAAATTCAACTTATTTTTATTATATGGTTTCACAAAAATAAACTTTAAAAGACCAAAAAATAGGTTGAAAATGACATTTTGCACTGATTATTTTTAATATATTAAAAATAAAAATCAGTAATAATTTAGAAATTTTTGTTAGTTACATATGTATTTTCATTTATCTATTATAAAATTATTTTTAGGTCCTTCCATTATATTTTATAGGGGTGGCAACTTTACTTTTCTAAATGACAACTTACATATTTAACTAGCTTCTAAAATATAAAATGATCTAATTAAGAAAATGACTACTTTTACTATTTTTAATAACTACTTTTAGACCAGTATTTCAGAAGTTATCAACAATTTAATGACTGGAGGTGAGGTGGGGTGCTGCTATTTTTATCACTAGTGATTTTCCGGTTGTATACTTCCTCTCGCCTAGGTATAAAAATGAGAATAACATCCTAAGGAGTGACCCTATAAGTTGTTATCTCTCTCTATATACTAAAATCTTAAGCCCCTCAAAATAAGCTGCACCTGGTCGATCACTAAAATTATATAATGTATATTATGCATACTATATTTAATTACTATAATAAGTATTTATTCAATTAATATACTTTTTAATCAGGATATAATTAAAGAAATAGTATATAATGTTGCTTATGGAATGATTCAACAATTTCTTCTAAAAATTAAACACTATCTACAGATTTGCATCGAAGTGTATATTATAAAAGTGACTCTAATTAATGTCCCTACTATGCTGGGTTTTTATAAATAAATCTAAAGATATTATTATTAAATAATACATTATTACTAACTTATAAGAGGTTAGCCTGGCATAGTTGGTAGCAACGTATGTTTCGTTGCAAGTAGTCCTGTGTTCGATTCGATCTCCAGAGATTTTTCTAGTGATTTACTATTGGCGGTGTCTGGTCTGGTGCAAGCCGGCCATAAAACCCGTTGGTTCCATCATTAGCTTTGTATAGTTTGTAAAGTTCAGAAAATAGAAGAATGTAAATCTAATCATTATTTATTTATTATATAATTACTAACTAATAATATTATTACTAATTTTTTTTCTTATTTATTTCGATTTTAGTCTAAAAACTTGACAAATAAAGCTTTGTTAGAACTGAAAAATATTTATGAGAAAAATAAACAAAGTGATGAAGGTATGAACTATGAAGAGTTTGAAAAATTAGCGAAACCTTTTGTTTTTTTAAAAAGTATGAGGGATTGTAATATCAATGAACTATTCACGAATGAAGTTAAAGGTAAGTTAAACTCTAATTATGATTTTCAAGTTGAATTTTATTTTCAACAAATAATATTATAACTATTTCTGTAAATTTAATGTATTTGCATATTTAACCAGTGTATCGTTTAAGGACATAGGTACAACAATATTTTCTCGCATTGTTTATGATTTAACTAAAACATAAACACAATTATTTTACCTTCAATGAGAAGCTGAGAAGATATTAATTTTACTATGATGTGCTTTTTTTCTGTTAACATTTTTTCTCGGGTCTCGCCGAACCGATTGCTTCAATGATTCGTTAAAAGATTTCAAATCGTATCTATTTGAAGATATTGCCCTTAAAAATTGAAAAAAGTTAACTCATTCCTCGTTAATGGAATATCTCGTATTTGAGATAGAAAATAAATTTTAACTGATTTGATTTTTATTTCATTTAAATTCAATAACTTCAATAAATATCAAGGACCCCATTATTGTAGTCTCCCCTCGTGAGAAGAAATTTCTCATTCATACTTAAATTATTTTACTAGGTGGTTTCTTTTTTTTTTTTGTGGCTTTCATTTATTTTTTCAGTTCTCACTTGACTTACTTTTTTCAACGATATGTCAAATTATTATAATTATTATCTAATTGTAGGTAGTACCCTCAAAAATTAAAAAAAATTTTCTTTATCAAATAAAAAGTTGCTTAACTAGCTTTCTCCATATAGAAAATTAAAATAATTTATTTTTAATATTTTTAAAGTGTTTATTGTCAAATTAGGTTTGATATGATTTAGGTTTCTACTACAAAATTACATTATTTTATTTTCTAATTTATTAATTTTTTAACTCTATTTGTATGTGGTACTACCAGTCTATAATATTCCAAATTGCTTAACTAGAAAAGGAGTTTTTTCTAGTCAAGGTGTCAGTATGTGTTAAGCGTTGATAATGGCAAAATTGTTTCCGAAATACGTATCCGCGATTTTTCAGTAATTTTTTGTGGCTTTTTTAGTATAATATTTTTAGTTTTAAATTAAAAAAATAATTTTAATATAGTTTTAATTATAATATTTGATTATAATTGTAAAAATTCATTGTTAAATTCAGGTGAAACTAAAAAACATTTTTAGAAATGATTTACGTAGCAACATTTTACTAAAAGAATTGGAATATTATGCTAGTAGCACACACAAAAAGAGTTAAAAAATTAATAAATTACAAAATAAAATTATTTAATTATGTAATAGAAACCTATTATCATATCAAACCTAATTCGACAAAAAATATTTTTAAAATATTAGAAATGAATGACTTTAATTGTCTATATGGAGAATGTGGGCTAAGTAACTATTTAATTAATAAAGTAGAATTTTTTTAAATTTTTGAGGGTATTATCTTCAACTAAATACGAATTGTAATAATTTGACGTATCGTTGAAAAATGTAAGTCTGGTGAAAGCTAAGTAAATAAATGACAGTCACAAAAAGAAAACACATAGTTAAATAATTTTAATATAAATAAGGAATTTCTTCTAACTGGGGGAGTGAATATCAAAGACCCCAGTGGTGGGGTTCTTGTTATTTATTAAATTTATTGAATCTAAATGCGATAAAAATCAAACGAATTTTGAAATTTTTCCAACTCAAAGAGAATTAAGAATAAAATGCAAAAAAGGCATTATGACGAACGGAATTCGAACCCTGTACCACGAGCGTAGAAGATTTAATTAAGATAAGCTTTAATTTGATATATGTTTAATGAATGCTGTATTTCTGGAACATTTTCAAAAGTTGCAATAGATGACTTTTGTAAAAAAGTTGCTATGTCAATTTGTTCATTTTTCAAAAAATGATAGCACTTTTAAGAAAAAAAATTACTAAGTGAAAAAATGCCAAAATTTACTGATTTTAAAAAACGTTATTTTTTGGAGGATTTGCGTCATTTACTGGAACGAGGAAAATTTGTTCAATTCAAGGGCAATGTTTTCTAGACATAATTTGTGATCTTTTAATGCATCATTGAAAGAAATCGGTCTAGTGAGAATTGAGAAACAGTGGCAACACACACAAAAAAAAAAAATACATCATAGCAAAATTAATACATTTTTAACTTCGCATCTAAGCAAAAATAATCTATGAAACCATCACGCTTGCAACAAAAAAACGGGCAAAAAAAATCAATAAGAACCACTGATTGTTAGGAAGTTGACCCATTATCCGTAATTTAATATCATCAAATTTCAATATAATATAAATATAATTTTGAAAAAGTAATCATTCCAAATAATTGTAAAATTGGATGGCTTCATCGATTTCATTAGCCAATAAATTTTCTTTATGGATATATTTAGAAATAAATTCTACGCGAAAATGCCCAAAACATTACCAGATAATATACTTTATGTATTTTGAGTGATATGAATAAATAAACACTAATTTTATGACATTTACAAACATGCCTCGAAAAATGTGTCTAAAATAACCAACATAAATTAATGGATGTAATTTTTAAATCTTAAAATGTTTAATCATCTATTTAATTTATTTAAAGGATGGTATTTTTTCTTCGAGTTATTCAACAAACCAATGTTTGATAATTATATGATATCAAGAATGATAAGTGAGGACTTTTGTTTTTAAAAGTACCTCAGTATAATTCGAAAAAATTGTTAAATAGTTGGAACCTTTACAAATTTAATTATTAAATATTATAATTTTGAGTTAAAATACTTCATATTTTCAACTTTTGAAAAAAATGTTAGTTTCGCGAATGTGGACCATTTTTTATATTTACCTTTTTTAAATGAGATTACGTTACGGTAATTGTAACGAGATGACTAAATTATCTCGTTATTATAAACGTCGTATTAAAAATTTTATTTGTAAGATAGCTTTCAGAACAAATATGTGGTGATTATGTGAGGAGATCCCCCCTCCTCAACACACCACTTGTAGATCGAACCACATGACTTCCCTGAAAACAAAAATATGTAAATAAAATTGAAGATTTCAAGTTGATTTTATTTATATATTTTGGACATATGAACTATGACTATATGGACGGGCACGTTTGTGTTACTGGTGAAAAACATTTATTAATACTCGGTATGCAATTGGGATATTCCCAAGAAGGCGACATGTATTTTATATTATTATATTGTATCATAAAAACAAACTATGGTATTGAGAAGTAAATAGTAATTCTAAAAATATTTATCACAAATATTCGGTCAACTTAATGTGCGATTTGTATGTATATTCGCGGAAATTTGAAATTTTTTGTTATATTTGCTTCAAACTAATACATCGTTTATATTAAATTAAGTCAATATAATAATTAAAAAGTATTATTATATTTTCAAGTTATATAAAAAACTAAATCTGGTATAAATTATTATTTAGAATATTGTAATAAATTAATTATTGTTGAAATTAAAATTAAAATTGAGTATAATTATTTGTTTTATTGTTAAGTAAAACGTTTATAATTTGTGCTGATGTAGTATTACAGAATAGCAAGTTGCTGTGTGATTTGTTTTTTTCTTTCACCTGAATGTCGGTTATAATGTCATTGTCAATGCATCGTGATTATCTATTTATATTATACTTTATGACAATTTCACTTTTACTAAATTATATTGTAGTAGTACTTCATTTAAACATTAGTTAATTATTATTTTTAACTATTTCCTTTCTACAATTATATTAAATGAAATTTAAATGTGCGGTCAGTGATTATTGACAATGCATTTATTATTGATATTAACATTTTTCTTATAATTAAAAATTAATTGGTATTATATACTTTTTAATTCATTAAGAAAATGAATATATGAAATATGATCAATTTGAGAAACAAGCGACAACGTTTGTCAAAATAATTGAGGCAGACATTTTAAATATTTATATTAATAGTCTCAACAAAAGTTGTAAGATGACTCTAGATGAATTAAGAACTGAACTGAATATATATCTTGATTTGAATATTGATAATGCTAAATTGAATGCTAAATTGAATGCTGAATATGAAATTAATAATACTCAAGATATCGACTTCGAAGGTATTATAATTATTAAATATATTTTTTTAGAATTATATTACTCATCTAAGGTTAATGTGATATCATCAAAATGGTTTTCTTAAATCCAAGAACAATAGATAATCTGTCATCGAGAAAGTGAATAACTATTCCATTTAAACCCTTTATATTGGTTTTCTATTATAAAATAGCTTTTCATTCATGTAATATTTTGCAAAAAAACATTTAATTTGTCTTTACTTATTCCAATCCACGAGCATGAAGCCAATTTTAGCTAAGGACACCGACTAAAAATGCTTCGAAGATATAGACAATATCTGAGATATAACAAAAATATATTCATTAACATTTGGATTTTATTTAATATATAAATTTGAGTTAAAAATTTTAGCCGAAAAAATATTTAAAAGCACAACCACTAATAAATATTCTTTTGTTTATTGAAACCAAAGTATTTTTCGTGTTTACATATACATCGAAAGTTACATTTTTAACGTGCAGTGAATTATAAAATACTGCTCATTTTGAATGATCATATGTATGATATATACAGGGTGTTCAGTAAGTCAGGAAACGGGTTTCTATTGTTCTCATTGTTTGTAATAATGAGAACAATAGATACCCGTTTCCTGACTTACTGAACACCCTGTATATCATGTTTCTATAAAAAACAAAGTTGATACCCGTATAAGGGACGAACCTAAAAATTACCTAATGATGTATAGATGTGTAATTTTATCTTACTAAAAAAATCCGAAAAAAAAATTTTCAAAATTATTATAATGTTGAGAAATATTGATTAGCTAATGTTAAAAGAATCACCATGCATAATTTTTCTGATACAGGACAATGTATAGTACCCGTTAAATTTAATTTTAAAAAGGTAGCACAGTGGGATCACGGCTCAGTGGGGATGTGGCATAGTTGGGACGAGTATAGACGATATCTGACAATAATTAATATGATAAGAAACGCTTCAATGCAAATCTGTAGATAGTGATTAATTTTTAAAAATTGGCGAATGATTAAAAAAGCAACATCAACTCCTATTTCCTAGAGTATATCCTGATAAGTGGTTCTTTGATATAAAAGTATAATATATGAATATATACTAAGTATTGGTTGGGTTTAAGTAAACTATAGTAATTAAATTTAGTTTGAATTTTAAATTCAATAATTTAATATTGTAATTTATACGGAGAAATTATAAAATTAATAAAGTACTTGTAAAAAATTTTTATTACTTATGAATAAATACACTGGACTATAAGGATCTTTCATCTAAAGCAAAGATATACTTATCTTTTTCAACTTTTCGCACTGTTTTCACAACTGCAATTAGACTTTTTTATCACTCGTAATTGTTGATATTATTACTAATTAATAAAAAATTAATATATATATACAGAGTGGCCCACCACTCACTGACAACTTAAATAACTTTTGATCCAGTTAATATTTTTAGCTGATTTTTTTTTTTAAATAATAGTTATACGTTAGGTCTATAGCTATATCTCAATAATTAATTGTTTTACATTTTATTAAAAATATTAATTATTTTTAAATTTTAAATAAAATGTAAAAAAAAAATCTAAGATAGCTATTTTGTAGAGTAGAATTTAAGAAAAATTTTAGTAAAAAAATATCTTATTAATATTCAGTAGTAAATATTCTGTAGCGTTTTGAAGTTTGTGAAAATTTGAATTTTCATGTACTATTTTACGGTATTAAACATTGAAATACGTATTGAGAAAAGGACAGAAGAAAACGCTATCTTTTCATGATTACTGTGTATACATATGATGATAATGTGTATACATTACAAACTTGGCATTAATACCGTGATAAGAAATTAGATAAAGCAATTATTACTTATCACTCTCATTCATCTGTCCTTTTCCCAATACATATTTCAATATTTAATACCGTAAAATAATACATGAAAATTCAAATTTTCACAAACTTCAAAACGCTACAGAATATTTACTGTTGAATATTAATAAGATATTTTTTTACTAAAATTTTTCTTAAATTCTACTCTACAAAATAGCTATCTTAGATTTTTTTTTTACATTTTATTAAAAATATTAATTATTGAGATATAGATATAGACCTAACGTATAAGTATTATTTAAAAAATAAATCAGCTAAAAATATTAACTGGATCAAAAGTTATTTAAGTTGTCAGTGAGTGGTGGGCCACTCTGTATAAAAAATTAATTAAAACAAAAAAAAAATTTGTTTCTAATTCTTACTGATTTTGATTTTTAATATGTTAAAAATAATCAGTGCAAAATTTCATTTTAACCAATTTTTTTTATACTTTTAATAAAAGTTAAAAAGTTTTATGAAAGTTTATAGTATACAATTAGTGGATTATTTCAAAAGCAATATCAACTCCTATTTTCTGTATTATTTATAAATAGTAGTTTATTAATGTATAAGTATAATATTTGAATAAATACTTATTATAGTAATTAAACTTAGTATGAAATTGATATTCAATAATTTAATATAGTAATTTTTATGGAGAATATAAATTTGTTTTATATTTCGTTACCTCTATAGTAAAAGCATATCAAAATCGACTGGGGAAGTTAATGATTTTTTCTAACTAGTTAAAGTTAGGTTGATTTAAAAAATAGTTTTTAAAAACTATCTCATGGTATCCCGCAGATGACTTAATAAATTAACTACACATCCTCATAATCATACATCATCAAGAAAATAAAATTTACAAAGAAATATAATTTAAGGCAATAAATTTGCCTAACGTAACAGTGTGATATCACCAATAGAATAGATAAAAAAAGTTAATAATTCTGACCTTTTTTAGTTAATTATAATTTCAGTTGAGTTTCAGTCTGAATCAAAAAGTTGAGTATTATAAGTTCAGTGTATAATTAAAGACATAAACATTGCCTAAATTTAGTCTAAACTTCACTTCAAACTAGATTTTTTGAAAAAGTTGTACTTTCAATACGCATATTTAAAGGTTTGAACTCCCCTCCACTGTATAAAGCGAAAGGGTCCCATCTAAAAAAAAACTATGTCTAATAAAAGATGTATATATATATATAGTATTTGTCATAAAAAATTAGTATTGATCCATACATTTTGTAAAAAATTATAGCATCATAATGTTAAAAAATGTAAAATATAATATTAAGAATTTTTTCACAAAAATATCATATTTTAGAATACGGTAGTCATTTTAACCATGAAGATAACTACAGAGGTCAAATTTTTTTTTTTCAAATTAAAGTAAATTACATTAGCTTTAATGTAAGATATATATAAAAGTGTCAGTATTTCCAGAACTAATTCAAAAGTTAAGTTGAAAAAGTTGCCATTTTGAAACCCCCCTGTGGGCAGGTAAAGGGTCAAATGTTCACAAAAATATATCAAATGATAGGTAAATACCTAAAAATGTCAAAAGTTACCGATTTTTAAAATTGTAATTTTTTGGAGGATTTCACCCATTTACGAGAAACAGAAGAAATTTTTTCAATTTTTGAGGGTAATGTCTTTGACTAAATACAATTTGTAATCTTATGACGTATCGTTGAAAAAAATCGGTTCGGTGAGAGTTGAGAAAAATGGTAACAGACACAAAAAAAAAAAAAAAACGGTAGCACAGTGGGGTCGCGGCATAGTGGAGACATTGCATAGTTGGGTTCAGTATAGATTTAATCTGACAGTGATTTTAATCACTATCATAAGAAACGCTTCGATGCAAATCTGTAGATAGTGTTTAATTTTAAAAAATTGATGGATAATTGCAAAATTAACATCAACTTCTATTAAAATAAAATACAAAACCCATAATTTTAATACAAAAATAGCATATTTTTGAATACGGCAGCCATTTGCGTATAGAAGATAGGTCGTCGGGACAAATTTTTTTTTTTCATTTTGTAGTACATAAAATAAGCTTTAATTTTATATATGTTTAAAGGACGCAGTATTTCCGGAACATTTTCAAAAATTAAGTTGAATAAGTTAGTTTTTGTAAAAAAGTTGCTATTTTAAATCCCCTCAGTGAGCAGAATAAGTGTTAGATTATCAAAAAAAATTATATCAAATGAAAGGAAAAAATCTAAGGTTTCAATACAAAAAAATATTATTTTGATTAGTTAATACTTAAAAAAGTTAAGGGAGTTTTAAGTACAAAAAACATCCCGATAAAAGGTCATTTTTATCGCAAACATTACATTTTTTTTTAAATTTTCGACAGCCATTTGCACATAGAAGATAAGATGTCGGGACAAATTTTTTTTTTTAATTTGATAGTACATAAAATAAGCTTTAATTTGATATATGTTTAAAGAACGCAGTATTTCCGGAACATTTTCAAAAGTTCAGTTGAAAAAGATTTATGTTTTTTACAATATTTTAAGTTTTGAACGCCCCCTATATAAGGAGAAATTGTCCAATTTTAATAAAAAGTATGTCAAATGAAAGATGTACTTATAATATATTTAGAAAAAAAAAATTTGTGCTGATATATACATTTTTCAAAAAGTTATAGCATTTTTAAGTTGAAAATTTAAAATCGAAAATCGAAAATTTTAACACAAAAATAGTGTTTTTTTAACTACGGCAGCCGTTTAAATGTAGAAGAAAAAGTGTCGGGNAAAAAATTAAAATCGAAAATCGAAAATTTTAACACAAAAATAGTGTTTTTTTAACTACGGCAGCCGTTTTAATGTAGAAGAAAAAGTGTCGGGACAAATTTTTTTTTTTCATTTTATAGTACATAAAATAAGCTTTAGTTTGATATATGTTTGAAGGACGCAGTATTTCCGGAACATTTTCAAAAATTAAGTTGAAAAAGTTAATTTTTGTAAAAAAGTT